CCCCCCCAGCGCCCGCCGAGATAAGCACATTTTATTGGTGACAAGATGTGGCTCGATAGCCGCCTGCCACCGCTGCTGAGTTGGGCGGGGCAAATACAGTAGCTTGGCGTGATGGCAAGGAGCGGCAGCATTCGTAGGAGCAGATGCGAATACCGGCAGGCTAGACGCACGTGGATGGAATGTGATCTCGCACCATTCAGACTACCACAAACGTGAGCGAATCGTCGGAGCTGATCGACTGGGGGGCTCCACAGCGCAGTGCTTGTTGCTCATGCACGCGCACGCCAGAGGCGCATCTCAAGTATGGCTCCATGGACAGACCCTGGTGGCGTGCGCACGCATGCAGGGCGACACCTGTCGAAAAGCGTGACAGCCCGAAACGCGAGCGGAGCAAAAGAAAAAAATGCAGTTGGAATCCACGGTACGCGACCGGTCGAGATTGTCAGATCGCCCAGTCCAGGTTGCAGAGGTCGTGCAACCGCCGCGCGCAATCACGGAATCCACGCTAAAGAGAATCACGCCTCCACCATCGCAATCTGACGCCATCGAGCGTCGAACGCTTCGCCATCCCTGCTTTCACCCACTCACTTCGTCGGCAGAGCCCACGTCTTCTCCCTTTCAGACGGATTCACGGGCCGATTTAACATGCCGCAGTCGATTGAAAGCTGGCCTTTCGATCGGCTGAAGTCTTCCTCAACTGTACGATCGGGAGATACATCGGGATGCTGCCTCACCCGTGAGTACCCTACCGGTCATACCTCGTGATAAGATCGTTGATTACCCCATGATTGAATTGCCGCCCTTGTCAACTAGTGCTCCACTGACGTCTGCGGTACTCGCACATCCCTGCAGCAGTCCGCGCCGCCTCGTGACCGGCAGGGTAGCGGAGGATGGTGGCTTGCTCTTGGCCGAGCTCAATGGACCTCCCGCCAAAGTCGCAAGCATGTATATAACCGTTCTGAGATGTACTCGAAGGTGCCTTTTGCGAAAAGCACAGTCTTGACATTGGAGCGACACCATGCTGCCACCACACAGAAGGACTCCCGAGGCCCTTGTTCTTCCGAAAGAGCTGACATCTCTCGCCGAACATACGCCTCCAATGTGCGGTATGCCGAGCGCAGACTCCAACTCGGCCACCTCGCACCTTCTCCTACCAGGGTCCGAGTCTGAAGCCGTGGCGCACTTCGATCTGGTCATCATTGGTGGTGGTCCTGCGGCCCTCGCCGTGGTCTCTCGTATCCTCGAATCGCGGCCCGCAGCGCTGTACACCGAAGACGAGCATCGTCACCTTCACTTTGTCCACCGCCAACGCACGCGCTCGTTCGTTCCGAAGAAGAGCCACAAGTCGACCCGATTCGATGCAAACACAGAGCGTAGTGTTCTAGGCGACGATGATGCAGCCTGCGCGTGCGAAGGACGTTTCAAGATACTCGTCATCGACCGATGTGGTGAGGGCTTCATGGGGCTCTGGAAGCGCAACTTCAACGCGCTTGGCATCAGTCATCTCCGTTCCCCGATGTTCTTCCATCCGGACGCGAGCGACTTTGATGCCCTCCTCGCATATGCAAACCAGACAGAACGCGCGAACGAGGGCACACCGGACCAGCTCATTGACCAGATCGAGTCTCGTGTTGCGGCAGTCCGGGTCGTCGGGCAGGAGGCCAAGAGGCGTAGCAAGCGTTCCACCAGCGTTCCCTCTGATCGCGCACACGGATCTTTGCCCCATTTGATCGAGATACCCAGTGTGGTCGGGCGGGAGAAGTCCAAACACAAGCGAAAGCAGCAACAGCAGTTGCTTGGCAAATCCGGTCCTGCCAGCGTTCACGTCAACGAGCGCGACCGACGTGATTACTTCACCCCAAGCTCGGCGCTGTTCGGCTGCTTCATCCGCAGGCTGGAGGAGAAGTACGGCCTGAATACGGCGGCTGTCTGGCCAAGCGTGCAACAGTTCTTCAATGCAAGTGCAAGCGACAACCAAGAGGCCCAGCAGGAACAGCCAGTCACAACGCTACATGGCAGTGTCAAAGATCTTGTGTGGCTTGATGGCGTCCAGCGCTGCGTCGACGATGGTCTTGGCAACCACCGAGCCGGCTTTCTTCTTGAGCTGGAAGACAATGACCCTGTCAGGAATGGCAGTGTTGTCGTCTCGGCAAAAGCTGTCGTCAGTGCCATAGGCGCAGGTGGCAAGCCGAGCATCCCACCTTTCCTCACTCAAGCCAACAATGCAGAAGCCTCTGGCAGCGGCACAGGAAAGAGTGCGGCAAGTGCCCCAAGGGGCAAGGGATGGATGCATTCTGGCTGTCTCGCATGGGAGCCGTTCCCTACCCCACGTCAAGGGCACCGAAGTACCATGGTGGTTGTCGGAGGAGGCTTGACTTCTGCTCAACTGGTCGTCCGTGCGCTCGAATCCGGATACGATCGCGTCATCCTGCTTGTTCGAGGTCATCTTAAGAGCAAGCCCTTCGACGTGGATCTCGGATGGGTTGGACGGTATAGCAACTATCTGCGCATGCAGTTCTGGCAAAGTGACAGTGTCGACGAGCGAGTCAACATCCTGCGAACCGCGCGTAACGGCGGCAGTGTCACGCCGACCTACGCCAAGCTGCTATCCCGACTCGAAGCGCTTGGCAAGCTCGAGATCCGAACCCACACCACCGTGGCGTCAGCGACCTACGACCAGGACTGGACACTGAACCTGCGGACAGCCCATGGAGTGCAGGAGATTCGTGCCGACTACGTGATTGCTGCCACCGGTGCCGAGACCAACTTTCGAAACTTGACCTTCCTGTCCACGTTGCAGCGCACACACCCCGTGTCGGTTGTGGCAGGCATGCCGCTGGTTACGGCTGATCTCGAGTACCGCCGTGATGTGCCGCTGTTCGTCACGGGCGCCTATGCTGCACTCCAGATCGGTCCCGGTGCGGGCAACCTGGGAATGATGAGAGACTCGGCTGATCGTATCGCCAATCGCCTCGTCCAACTCATCGATCCACCCCAGTCCCAACCTGCACGTAGGCAGACGACGGCCCGGTCTCAAGCCGAATCCGCCGCGCCAACCCATTTCAACTTTGACCTTCTCTCCATCGAGGCATGACAGCCCCATGGGATTATACTGCAATCACCCCGGTGCTGGCCACCTTCTCGTCTGTCTGTTCTGCTTTGTGCGTGGATTGCAGCTTCTTGCATCTTTTATGGACGGCAAGGAGATCTGCGGGTATACAATGGTTTCACGACACGCTTGGTCGGAGTGAGGGCTGGTCAGATCAAGCCGAGTGGTGTGCCAACCATGCTGACGATCAGAAGTCGCAACTTTGGATCGCCGAATGGCCTGAACTTGTGCGGGGCGCCACCGAGCATGTCACCGAGCTCTAGGGTCGCCAGGACTGAGCGTGCCTCCTGGACGCGATGCGCATGCACGTAGAGCGCGATATGCGACCTCGATACGTCCGCGCCCGGCGAGCCTGTGCTAGCCATATAGTGTAGAATGGGTGACGGACACAGCTCCAGCTCCGAGGCCTCGAGGCCACGCAGCTCGGCATAGCTCGACACTTCCCCCGTGGCCACCTGATCGTCGAGCTCGGCCAAGAATCTTCGTGCCGTCGTCGAAGTCCAGACAAGCACCGTATCGTTTGCAGCCGGTCCGAGGGCTTCATCCCTAGTATCGTGTGGCTTGATGAAGCGTGCGGGGGAGGCAGCTGGATGGAGCGAAGGACCGGACAGCGGCACGAGGATCTTGACTACGGGCCCACGTCGTGTAGGCCATTCTTCGCCGTCAAAGGACTCCAAGCACGGAAAGGCGGACGGTTCAGCGTCGTGTGGGACCTGCATTTGCAGCCGATATCCTGCAAAGTGAATGCGGTGCTCGAACGCAGGCAGATTTTCGAGATCCTCTGAAGGCTCCTCATGCACGAGTTCACCCGAATCGAAATGAACGAATTCGAGCCGGTCAGAACCCGCCTTTTGCGACGCTTGTTTTGCTGTCAAGCAAAGGTCGTCACAGACGGAGCGCCGTGTGGGTGGATACCACGCCGCTCGGACTGCCTTGATTGAAGCCAGTGTACTTGTCGGAAGCTTCAGTCTACGCGGGTGATCCGAGTCCAGTTGCACCGAGGTCCACTTCGGCCGATCCGAACCGTTCCGCGTTAGCGATCCGGCGATTCTCCGTGCCTGCAAGTGCGACAGATGGGCAGCATCAAATTCGATTCGAATGTCGTGCCGGCTCAGCGTCTGCCACGCGGCTTGGTTTGCGTGTGCGTGACCGACGTGTTGTGATTGCTGGGGCGAATTTGCGTCGTTCATCCTGCGCAAGGCAGTCTGTGAAAGCACCTCGAGCAAACCTCGACTCGAGTCGCCCTCGCTTTCAGGATCCCCATAGTCTCGTGTAGCGTCGTCGGGAGCAAGCAGAGGTCGAGGCGAAGATGCAGCATCGCTCAGAGACGGGCGATTGTCCAAGAAGGGCGACGAAGCGTCAGCCGTTTGCACTGTCTGCATGTGCGTTCCGACGTGCGGTCGTTTGGGTGGTAGCGTGGGAAAGTAGGTGATCTCGGATTCGTCCGCTGCGTCTGAATCGTCGGATATTGGCGGCACAGAGGCGCGGGAATGTGCTTCGTTGAGCGGATAATGGGTCTCCAATGCCTGGACGCCACCGAACTGAACGCGTTGGATCTTCGGCTGACGCCGCCTCTGCTTGACGGTCCTGCCCTCAGCAGGGCGTTTCAGCTTGCCTTCCTGTTTCGCATCAGCGCTGTCTGCATTGTTAGCTTTCGCATCCACAGACCGCTTGCTCGTGGTTCTGCCTCCTGCTGGCGCTAGATGAGGATGGTTGCCACGGGAGAGAGCATCAGTAGTTAATGCCTCCGCCCTGGATGCCCTGCGTCCCTTGCACGTTGTGTCTCTGATGGAGCGCGGAAGAATTTGACCGCCGAAAGTTCCGATCGGGGAATCTGGATCCGCACAAGCGAGCGTACGGAGGCTTTGCAATTGGCGAGTTTGCATGCGAAGTCCTTGGTCTCCGGCAACGTCGCCTTGAGCGCCTCTCCTTTTTGGGCGAGGAAGTGGATCCGGTGTGACCGCAGTCGGAGGGACCGGTGGTGGAGAGGTTATGAGCGATGACGCCCTCAAGTTGAGTGCGTTTCTAGACCGCGTGGATGGCGCATTACGCTTGCTTTCCGCTCTCGGCGATACCGGCGCTGTGGCCGTCCGAGCCGGTCCCGGGTTATCGCTGTATGCCGTGCTGTACGGTGGAGGAGAGGAGCCGATGTGCACCAGACGCCGCCTCTTGGGGGCAGTGTCAGTCGCGTCAAGGGTGCGCTTGGTGCCATGATGGGGTCCCCTGCGAGCGGACGAACGGATCTCTGCAGCGAGGACATCAACCATGACGAGGATGCCGCGGATTAGGGCTTGCGTGCCGCTCTTTGCGCCGACGTGACGTCAACGAAGATTTGCATCGCTTCGCTTGGACGAAATAGGGAGTTTGAGATGCTGTTTGCAGCAATGAAGTCGAACGTGAAGTTACTGTGACTGTGTTGCCGTTGTACGGACGCGAGCTTCAGGTTCAGCACCATGAGCACCTTGGACCCTGTCTGCAGCTCCACCTTTGGGCCCGATTCAGTGCTTTCCATCGGCTCAGACTGCTTAGTCATTGCAAGTCAGCCGTTGAATTTTTTGAGCCGGCATGCTGCCACAAAAAAAAAGGTGGGACGAGCAAAAAAATGAGAGACCTCAAGTCAGTGTCGTTTGGGAGCGCACTTGGAAGAACTGAGCTGCAGAGGTGCGGAAAAAATTTCGAATGCACGGTGGCTTGCGCAGAGCTCTCGCCCACATCGCAGTCCCACATCGCTTCCACCTCAATCTCCTCCAACCCCTACTCCACCATCAACTTTCCCTACCCATCACCCTCGCTCTGTTTGCTGGCTGCGGAAATAGCGAAGCACGAACAGCTGCTCGCTCACCACAGCCTCATCGCAGAGCCACTCACATCTTCTCTGCGCCTGGACAAGTCTCGCCTCGCGCAGTTCCTATCGTCGGCCTGCCTTGTAAACCCTAGCGGCGCTCCTGAGGGGCCCGCCTTGGATCCCAGCCCATCATGGACATCAAGAAGCCCATCACTTCGGCCATCGCCTCGGCATCCTTCTCCTTCCTCACCGCCGAGGACATCCGCAGGATCTCGGTCAAGCAGATCATCAACCCCGTCCTGCTCGACACCACCAACCATCCCAATGCCGGTGGTCTCTACGACCCGGCGCTCGGGCCCATGCGCCCCCACGACATCTGTGCAACGTGTCACTTGAACTCGTATCAGTGTCCTGGCCACTTTGGCCACATCGAGCTTCCGTCGCCCGTCTTCCATCCGCTCTTCATGGGCAACATGTTCAACTTGCTCCGCGGCACCTGCTTCTACTGCCACCGTTTCCGCGCCTCGCTTCCCGTGCTCACCAAGGTGATCGGCCGTCTACGACTTCTCGAGTACGGCCTCGTCGACGATGCCGAGAACATCGACGCAGAAGAGCCCCGAAGCTACACCAAGTTCTCCGACCTGAACAACGAAGAGTTTGAGACCGCCAACGAAGATTCGGATCCGGAGAACACTGCGCCCAAGAAGAGCAGCTCTTCCAAGCCCGAGAAGTCCTCCGCTGGCGAGACGCCGGCTGAGTTCGCTGACCGCATCAACAAGCAAGTCAAGGAGCTCATCAAGCAGGCCAAGGCCAGCGGCAAGGCCACGTACGAGCCAGAAGCGGGCAGTCTCGCCTACACGCTCCGCAAAAAGTGCATGAACGACTTTATGAAGGAGATTCACAAGAAGCGCTGCGGTCAATGCAACGCCATCAGCCCCAACGTGCGTCGCGACGGCTTCCTCAAGATCATGGAGAAGGCTCCCCTCCCTACCGAGATCGCATCCAACGAACAGAAGGGCTACCTCCGCATCTCGCCCGTCAAGCGTGTCGCCGCCATCGAGCGTCGGCTTGCTGCCTCTGCGGCTTCGACTTCCGCCTCCGCAGAGAACGACGATGATGCGTCCGGTATTGCAACTCAAGCCATCTCGGCCGACGACGCGCCAAAGGAGGCCGGTTACCGTGTCATGCCCGCCGTCGAGTGCCAGGCGCATCTGCGCCTCCTCTTCTACAACGAGGGTCCTCTCTGCTCCCTTCTCTTCGGCCGCAACGGCCCCTTCCGTCTCGGCAACAGCGAGGGCAAGGTCAAGGCCAAGACCGGTTCCGCTATCTGGTCCACTCCCAACGGTGCCAGTGCCGACAGCTTCTTCATCACCGCCGTCGCCGTCCCGCCCACCCGGTTCCGACCCGCCAGCATCATGGGCGACATGACGTTCGAGAACTCGCAGAACGAGTTGCTGACCAATGTGCTCAAGACCACCTTCGCCATCCGAGATCAAATCACCGAGTTGGCGCGGCTCACAGCCAAGAAGGACTTCCCCGAGCTCGGGCCAGATGCTTCCGAGTCCGACTTCCGTGTGGCAGAGACGCAGCTCATCAAGTCGCGAGAAGACATGCGCCGCAAGGTGCTCAACTCCATGATGCAGCTTCAAGTCGACGTCAACTCCTTCATCGACTCGAGCAAGAACCCCATGCCTCTTCGCCAGGGCCAGCTTCCGCCTCCCGGTGTCAAGCAGGGCCTCGAAAAGAAGGAGGGTCTCTTCCGAAAGCACATGATGGGCAAGCGTGTCAACTTTGCTGCACGATCCGTCATCTCGCCCGACGTCAACATCGAGACCAACGAGATCGGCGTTCCGCCCGTCTTTGCTCGCAAGCTCACCTATCCGGAGCCTGTCACGGTGCACAACGTTCAGCTCATGCGTCAGCTCGTCATCAACGGTCCTTTCAAGTACCCTGGTGCCGTCGCCATTCGCAGCGAAGACGGTACCGAGACTCAGCTCGACAAGCTCAGCGTAGAGGAGAGGACCGCTCTGGCCAACCAGCTCCTCACGCCGCAGGAGCACTCGTCCAAGCAGAAGCGCGGCACCTTTGCTGGACTCGGCAGCTCGACCCGCACGCCCATCGCCAACAAGCAGGTGCTGCGTCATCTGCGCGACGGCGATATCCTTCTGCTCAACCGACAGCCCACGTTGCATCGTCCCTCGATGATGGCCCACAAGGCCCGCGTCCTCGTCGGCGAGAAGACGATCCGCATGCACTACGCCAACTGCAACTCGTACAACGCCGATTTCGACGGTGACGAGATGAAC